GCAGGAGCCTCATAATTCCCTGGAAACACATTTACCTCCTCGGTCTGGTCTATTTCTTGTCCAGAGAGAATTCAGTATTCCCATTTTAATAAAATTTTACTTTTCAATGAGTCCATCTGCAGAAAGTATGGGACCCCTGAGGCCCAGTGCTTGTGTTCTCGGGTCTCTGCACCTTCCTACATGCCTCACCTCTCGGGGACCGAGTCCTGCTGAGGACAGCAGCACAGAGAACTTTAACGTTGGAGTCTGGTCTCGTCAAGATGGTTCCTGGGAGCTAGAGGTAGGAGAAAGGAAGATCAGAAGTTTTTGCAGAAGTGATTCAAGCCTACAGAAGTAAAATATTCATGCAGTCAACAAGTATTTACTGAGAACCTACCACCTGCCAAAAAGTGGGGTTAAGAGGCCACAAGTATCTATAAAAGCAATAAGGCATGCTGTGCTCAGGTGCCATGAAACAGGAGTGAGGTGACCACCCAGGGGCAGGATGGGGGAGAAACCCACGTCAGAAGGGGGGTGAGGTGGGGAGTGGCAGGAGAGAGGTAGAGAGCTAGAATTTACTCCAAGTGCAAAGGAAAAACGCTGAGGGCTTTTAAGCAGGGGAAGGCCTTACCTGTTTTCAGGACATCACTCTGGGGAAATACCACTGCGGCCGCAGCGTGGAAACTGGATTGTGGAAGCAGCAGGAAGACCAGTGAGGAGGCTGTTGGAACTGCTGGTGGGAAAGAAGGTGACCTGGATGAGGGGGATAATTTTGCAATTATCCTGGAGAATCCACAGAACTTTGAAGGAGAAATGGAAGGTATTAATTCGGTTTCTCGGTAGTGCCTTAAAACTGAAATGAGGTCGACAGCGTAGAAATGGGGCCAGGGCACTGAAGATCACATGTCTGTTAAGACAAATAAAAGGTGTCCCACATCCTTTGACCTTGAATCTATAGAGTGCTCTGACTGGAGACCTAATTGTGGATGTTGCCAGGCTGGTGTGGTTCAGTGGTTGAGCATTGACCCATGAAACAGGAGGTCATGATGTGATTCTGGGTCAGGGCGTATGCCCGGGGTTTTGGGCTCAATCCCCAGAAGGGAGCATGCAGGAGGCAGCTGATCCATGATTCTCTCTCACCATTGATGTTTCTCTCTCTCCCTCTCCCTTCCTCTCTGAAATCAATAAAAAAAAATAAACATTTAAAAAATGGTGGATGTTATCTGTATAGAGGTGGAATTTGAAGTCGTACTGAGTGAGATGAGAGAGGAACCCCAGGAAAGGGGAGAGAGAAGAGAGAAGGAAGCTGGAGTGTGGACTTGTGGAAGCCCGGGCACAAAGACGTAGAAGGCACTGCTTCATAATGTAGCTGTACTGCACTTGTACTCTGAGTGTCGACTGTAGGCCAACACTTGGTTGTAACAAAGTAAACTGATTCGTACATCACTTAATAGTTTTTAAAGCGTTGTGCTTATTGGACAAGTTATGGTCTTTCCACAGAGTAAAGCACTGCAGGAAGAGCGGTTTCTGAGAGAACCGTTTGTTGAGCCTCCATCTCCTCATCTGTAAACCGAGGAGCCCCCCTGCCAGCCCCCTTTCCTGCGCAGGGCGTGTGTGGGGCACGCGGGAGGGCTGTGGCGAAAGCTCTGGAACAATGCCGTGAGTCCCCGTTTCTGAAACAGGATGCTGGCGAGGCGGTCCGAAGCCTTCCCACAGGGCCAGGCACCGCCGGACTCATTAATTAAAAAGCAAAGGCTGGGAACCGGCAACCATTTGTTAACACTCTTAGAGGGGAAGAACATCACTGGGTTTAAAAGCTGTGGCCTGTTCATGAATCTCAACTTGATTGTGGACGTTTCAGTCCTGATAAACCCGGTTCCCGTGTTCCAGGCTCCCGGGGGCCACCCTGAGGTCTGAGTTGATTCTTCTAGTGAGCGGGCTAGTGAGGCGCGTGCAGGGGGTCCTGGGACCACCTCGGATCAGCAGTTCACCTTCGCCGAGCCCAGCCCGCCTGTTTGTCCATGAGCCCAGGGGCTTGGGCGGCAGGGGGCTCCCGCACTTGTCTATGCTGCAGTACCTAGGGGGCTTGTGATGCACAAGGAGCCCCAGGCCTGCTCTTAGATTCTGGTCGGGCACGTCTGGGACTTGTGGACAAGCTCCTTGGTGGACTGTGAGGCAGGCGGTGTGTGTGTGAGAGAGAGAGAGAGAGAGATGGAACCTGAGTATCCATAGACCATAGGGTGTGATTAACAAGGCAGCACCAAAGGGAACACAGCAAATCTCAGTCCCCAAAGCATTGTAGCACAAGAGGACAGACACCCAGTGAGTGACGGTTTGAAGGTGAGGCCTGTGGGAAGTTCTGTGTGGCTTCGATCAGATTGTTAGAGCCCCCTCCCCAGCCCCACTCCTAGGCTCAGGCAGGCTCTGGTGGACCCTTGAGTTGCTTCTGGAATGACACAGCAGTTGAGTCAAACAAGCAGCACGCAGTCACCACGCCCCCTCTCCCCCAACTCTGCAGGTGGACTCCTTCCCACCAACCAGCACAGCATCTGGAAGGTTCTCTTCTCCTTTGTGATGACAGCCCCTGGCAGAGTGGCTTTGGAAACTCTCGCTCAGCTACTAGACTTTCCCCCACTGACTGTGCCGGTGTGGGCGGAAGGGACCAACACTTAAACTCCTGACACTCAGCGCAGAGGTTCTGTATCGATGAGCGAGAAAAACCCACGGGTGAGAGTCCACGGCAAACCCCGCCGGGCACCTCCCTCTGGAGGGCCGGATCCTCCATCCTCTGGAGGGGTGTGTGCACCATCCTGCCTTTTCCGAGTTTTGTTCTGCTTTGACCTGAAAGTTTGTGTCTGACCTGCACAGTGCCAGGCTTTGTGTAGGTTGAGCCCCTGGTGGGAAAGCAACGTCTCCCCCGGGAAGCCTCCGGGAGCGGTGAGCACCCGTCTGCACACTGGGAGAGCTTCCTGGGCCAGTTCCACACGGGCGCCACGTCACCGTACTTTTCCAGGCTTGTTTACGGAATACTGTTTCAAAAGACAGAACTTCCTCTGAATTCCATAAAATAATATTTGAAAACATTGATTTTTTTTGTCTGAACCTCAGATATTAAATAAAACATCCAATCACTCATTCACTACAGAACAAAACTTTCACATTTTTTTTTTCTTAAGAAAATGGTTCTTCAAACATACATTCCCAAACTGGGTGCGTTTTGTGTTTTTTTTTTTGTATTATTCTTTAAAGAAAGAAGTTGGCCACCACTATACCCCTGAGGGGAGTCTCACAGACGGAACCATTGAGGCAACTGGTTATTTGTGCAGGATCCCTTTGGCAAATGAAGATCAAAGTCCAAAAGAAAAAAACAAATTCACTTTATTTTAAAGACAATGATTGGCATACAGAAGGTATGCACTAGCATAAAATAAACTTTCATGTAAAGCATTAAAATCCATTATAAATTAACTTATTAAATAGGTATTTGGTATATGTGATGGTTTTTATTAGATATTACTCTTATTTATTGCCAACCCCCTCCCCCAAAGTCAAAACAAATCAGAAAAAAATCGCTTAGCTCCGATGTACACTAAATAATTTATCTTCCCAAAATGTGTATGTGTTCTGAGATGTGACACATGATACAGTTCCATTGGTCATTCTCCATCAATCATAATATGACAGGACACAAGAGGCTAAAAATGGCTCATCATAATTTATTTTATGTTAAAATGTACAGCTTTTTTTATTTTTTGTGGGTTTTTTGTTTTTGTTTGAAGTGACTGACTAAAAAGAGAACAGATAAATCCAAGAGTGTCGCTGCTGCTATTTTATACAAGGGGTTGCGCCTCTCCTGCTTGGCCCTTACAGTCACCTGTACAGGTACAAAGGCTACAAAAAAGGAAGCAATATAAACAGACACAAATAACTTTTTTGCTTTTTTTTTTTACATGCGGTTTGTAAGCTTAGTTTGAGCTATTCACAGGCTACTTCTCTATTTTTCCTTAAAAAATAACTCCAATATTTTATAAAGATAGAAAAATCTACAGATGGAATGAAAATGTAAAGTTAGAGGCATTTCCATAAAATAGCAACTTTACACCAAATTCACTATTTTTTTTTTTTTTTAAATCCTGCCAAGTATTTGGACATATATGAAATGTTTCAAAACCTGACAGATAAACACTGAGATATGCTTCATTCAATAAACAGAAGTCTGCATTTTATAAAACAGAAAGCTGCCTTTCCCTCCTCCCACCAAAGAAATCTGTCACCAAAATGGAAAAGGGTCTCAACTTTACACCAAACATTTAGCAATAAAACCCTTTTGGACTAACCAAATGGTAATAGCTTTTATAGCTCTTTACAGTTTTATAATTAACAAAAATATAGTTTTTGTTTGTTTTGTTTTTTTTTTAAAACCCTCAAATTAGGGCACCCTAACCAAGGCAAAAAACTTAAGAAATGGCTTACCGTTAGCACAACACTTGTACAGTACTACAAAATGCACTGTCACTGACAAGGACCGTAGCGGCATGCGGAAGTGTCACCTTGAACAAAATATACAAGAACGGAAATGCTAAAGGCATTTACACGGAGTGGACTGGGAGGGAGAGGAAGCGCGAGGCTCCGCGGTAAAACAGGTACGTCGGGAGTGCGGGGCTCCATATCCACATTGTTTGGCGGAGGCAGGCACGGCACGTGGCTGGCTGCCTCCGGCGCAGTCCAGAGAGAGAGGCCTTCCTCTGCAGAGAACTTCGTATAAAAGGAACGGAAACAGAGGTACCGAAAAAGAAAAAGGAAAAAAAAGAAAAAAAGAAAAACAACTTGTATAAGGCTTTCTGCTGCATACAGCTTTTTTTTTTTTTTTTTTTTTTAAATACATGGTGCCAACAAATATTTTTGCATTCACACCAATGTTGCTGGTTTTGAAATCGTACTCTTCGAAGGTATTTGTGCAGATCCGTCCGACCGTGACGCCCGGGGGTGGGGGCAGGGGTGTCTGTGGCTGCCTGGGTCGCCTACCTTCTCATGTAGGACCCATTGAGAGACTGCTTGGACATGCCCGTGTTCATGTAGCCGTGGTGCCCGGGGGCCGTGTACATCATGTTGCCGTGGGGCGGGGTCTGCATGGGCTGCTGGGCGTATGGCTGGGTCCCCATCATGCCCATCTGCATCTGCATCGGGTACTGGGGCGTCTGGTTCATGTAGCCGTGGTTGCCGTGGTAGCCGCTGTTCATCATCGGCTGGGACATGCTGTACCCGTTCATGGCGTTGAGCGTGTTCATGTTCATGTTCACGGAGTTGACGTTGTAGGCGGGGGCCGGCATCAGGTTCACGCTCATGTTCATGCCGCGCTGCATGGCCAGGGTCCGCGCGGGGCCCTGCATGGCCACGCTCTGCGAGCGCCCGTAGATCTGCGGCTGGTGGGTGGCCGCGGCGGCGGCGGCGGCGGCGGCGGCGGCGGCGGCGGCGGCCGGGGACAGGGACGCCGATTTGGTTCTCATGGAGACGTGGCCCTTGCTGGCGATCTGGGTCTGCAGTCTTTGGCTGTGGGAGATGCCGATGTTGGACGCAGCAGCCATGTTCCGCTGCAGGAGGGGCGGCGGCAGGTTCATCGGAGGAGGGGTCAGGTTGGGGGGCGGGGTCATGGTGGCTTGTGCTTGGGGTCCCCCGGGGACGGAGTGCGGAGACTGGGAGAGCTGGACGAGCCCCGGGTTGCTGAGCGGGGCGGACAGAGAGGCACTGTTTGCATAGGAAGTCACAGCAGCGGAGTGGCTGTAAGGCAATGAATGGTCGATGAGGGTGTTGGTTAACTGCTGCAGTTTGGCGAGGCTGAAGGTGGCGGACGGCTGCGGGTAGTGGCCGGCCCCGAAATCGCTCTGGCCCATCCGCTCGTACAGGCCGAGGTTGGCGTTGCCGGCCTCGGGGATGTCGGCCAGCTGCATGGGCGGGCTGAAGTTGGCGGCCATGCTGCACGGGGCCAGCTGCTGGCTGCCGCTCGGGGGCCGCTCCACCACGCAGCCCTGCGGGGACTTGACGCTGCAGGTGGGGGGCGAGCTGATGCCGGGCTGCTGCAGCAGGCTGCAGCTCCCGCTCATGCTGGACATCTGCTGGGTGACGGCGCAGCTGCTCTGCGTCAGGTTGCTGGAGGTCAGGCTGCTGTAGGAGCAGCTGTTCTGGGAAGAGCCGCTGCCGCAGATGCTGCCGCCCATCGTGGAGTCGTAGCTGCTCGGGTTCTCGTAGTTCTCCGTGGTGCTCTCGATGCTGCCCAGGTCGCTGAACCCGCTGTCCACCACCTGCTGCGAGTGGTCGGACACCGACGGGACGTCCATCATGGGGCTGGTTTCCATGTTCTGCAGCGATGGCACCGAGATGGCGCTCTGGTCCGGGCTGATTTGGGCGTAGCTGTTCTCCAGGGCAGGGACGCTGGGGCTGCTGACGGAACGCACCGACTGGCCGGGGTGGGAGTGGACGGAGGAGACGGGGCTGCTGTGGTCTGACTGCTGGCAGTCGTCCAGCGCGGCCGCGATCTGCGGGCTTTGGTCTGGGTGGGCGTAGTTCTGCAGGCTCCTGCAGGCCTCCTGGGTCTCGGCACAGTCCTGGAAGGTGTCCTCCTGCTCGCCGTTCTCCTGGGTCAGAGACTGCACGGCCTGCACGGTCTCGGAGTCGATTTCCATGGCTGCCGCGCTTGCCTCTTTGAGCTCGGGATCGGCGTCATCGCTGTGCTTTTGGTCCTGTTTCTGCGCCTGCTGGTCGGGGGGCTCCTCGTCAGACTCGGGCGCCGTCTCGGGGTCCGCGGCAAGCTCCTTAGGCTCGCTGTCGCACGCAGCGGCGAGGTCCACGTCACAGCCCATTAAGACCTCTGGGTTTGCGTGGCCGGCTGGGGCACTAAGGTCTAAAAAAGCCTCCTGGCTCTCCAGCACTTCTTTGAAAGCTTCCCTGGGGCGCTCCTCCTTCTCCGCCTCCGTAGACTCCATGTGGCTGTCGTCCTCATCGTCAGCATCGTGGCCCTCGTTGTGAGACGGCTCCTCCTCTTCCTCCTCCTCCTCAGGATCGTCCAGACGCTCAGGGTCCTCTCTGTCCAGGCAGGCTTCTGGTTCCTCTTTTTCCTGACTTCTGGTACCACCTGGGTCTTTTTCTACATTTCCTTCTTCTTCTTCTTCCTCTTCCTCCTCCTCTTCCTCTTCCTCCTCCTCCTCCTCCTCCTCATCCTCCTCCGGTTTGATTGGATCGTCCTCCAGTGCTTCGCCTGGTGACTTATTGGGACTCACAGGGGCACACGTGTCCTCCTTTCTGTCTTCATCCCGAGGCAGCCGGGGTTCCACAGCCTCCTTGGCGTCCTCCTCGATCCTGGTGGGGCTGGGGCTGCTCTTGTCCTCCAGCGCCTCCTTCTGCTCCTCCACCGTCACCTGGTCGTCCGGCTCCATGGGCGTCTCCGGAGGGGTGTACAAGTTCAGCTTGAACCCCGTCTTCCTTTCTTTGCTGGGCCGCCACTTAGAGAGGCCGCGCTTCGATCCTTTTGGCCACACTTGTTTGCACTTCAGAGGTTCAGGATTGTCTCTACTGCCTTCTTTCAAGTTATTTGCATCATCCATATTGTCTTATCGAGGAAACAAAGGGGAGGAAGAAAAACAAAGTCTTAGAAAGCGTAACCACAAGCAACTTGAGTTCATTCCTCTAGATTAATTAGCAAGCACTGCTTTCAATTTAGCATTTTAAGATTTAACCGTAAAGACATAATCAAGACTAATATAGAATAATACTGTGGCATAAACTGAGTAAATCACCCAGGTCTGGGAAAATTGTATGTGCCATACACAGACACGTACATTCCCTCTCTCAACAAAGCTGTGCTTTTTATAGGAAGCACATGGATAAAGGCAACAATAATAAACTTATTTGAGTTAGCAAATGATGCCCGGAATTGCACAATGTACAAAATTCACTGCGACATTTGCAAACTAGGAAATACGGGGGAAGGGGTTAATGCCAGCCCATGTCCACGTCCTCGCTGCACTAAAGCAACGAGAGAGAAGCCTCCCTCCTCACATATCTGCCTTCAGAAAGTGAACTTTGGTTTGTGGACAATTAGTGAATTTAAATGCTCTCAGATGACATTATTTACTTTGACTTAAATGTTCTCTCTGACATAAAAATAAACTGTGTACCTCTGAAACAAATGAATAAATAACTAAACACATCTGTAATCTACTATAGGATCATCATTTCTGCATGACATAAACTATCATGCATTTAGCATAAAATTATTGAGCAGTTAAAGCACAGGTATTCCTTTTATCACTAATTCTGTCCAGACTGTATTTTGGATCAATCTGCTGCTCAAATGTGTAGTTTGAATACTAAAGTAAATAAAAAACAAACCATAATTGTCAAGTTCATTTTAGTTCAGCTGATTTTATTTTTACTGTGCCTGCATGCACATGGATATAAATATGTAAGTATAGTTTCATAGATATAAGCAAACAAGAAAATATAGCAAACGAATAAATATGGATATAAAACACCCAAGTCTTAGAAAAGTACAGATCATGCTGATCTTCTGGTCGATTAAAAGAAAAAACGTTACAAAGAGAAACAGCATCATTAGGAGAACAAACTTGGGGAGGACTTATTCTGGGGAACAAAAATAAGATCTAATAACCAACGTGGAACGGAGACCCCTTTTGCCCGAAGCGAGTGACTTCTAATCCAATCAGTGCAGAGCAGGGTGAACTTTCAGATCATTTCTATAATAAAAAAGTTACACATAAACTTACCTGCAAGCACTACATTCTAATTGGCTAGCCGAAGAGAACACATATGCGATGTGGACAGATCCTTCGGAAGCGCAAAGTACAATACCTAGTTAATGGACGTCTCAGGATGTTCAAATGGTTTCACTTCTATCCACACGGACAGCCGAGCGCCATGTCAGTGCCCTGGCTTCTACGTTCTTATCCCACGTGATAGCGGACTTACCGGCTTTTATGGCAAGACCTCTCTACATCAGAAGATGTGTTTTCTCCTAATTATTTTTTAGGAAAGAAGCTTCTGAAGGGAAGTGACAAGGCCACTTAACATGTCTAAGGCAAACTGCACCAAGTGGAGAATGAAGTCAGCGTCCATTCATCTACTAGCTCTTGAGAAGACAACTGACAACTGGCAATAGGCTCAACTTCCACACAAAAATGATCAGTGGTTGCAGTGTGCTGCTGCCGCTGCTGCTGTTTACATGCTTGTTTGTTTAAAAAATGAAAGAACAAGGCTTGGTTTCTCTATACCCAGGGTACGATGCCATTCTCTCAGCAAAGTACTGTATCCCATTAATTAAGAAAGTCAAGACGATGCTCGGTCATATTTTCAAAAGCTAGAGTGACAGCCTGTGGTGCCAGGGCCATGAGATGCCTGTTCCCTGGATGGGAGTGAGCTTTTGAAAACAGACATTTCAGCAGTAGAGAGCCTGTCCCTCATTGCCCAGCTGGGACCCACAGGCCGGGGGTGGATGCTTTTAAACAGGACATTGCTTTCAGGATGCCTTTTTTTTTTTTTTTTTTTTTTTTAGAGGATGGGGCGGAATGGCCCTGGCAGCAGCAATTGTAAAACAGTAATTTAAAAGGAAAGACAGTTTCCTGATTTTGACATTATCCTGTCTTATCAAAGCTACTAGTGATGGTATAAGTTTAGCCGATTCTTGATAATATACGACACCACTGATTATAAGATGCATTATCAATCTAATATTTTTTTCCAGGAAAAAAGAAAGCTACTGAGTTCAGTGCTCACACTGACAATAATATATGCACTGATTTCAGAAGTATTAAACGTGGGGGAAAGCACATATTTGAATCAGGAAATGCAGTGTTTCTTACTGACATACTTCAAAGTTTTTGGGGACAAGTCAATTTCCGGAACGTAAGAGGAACCTGTCTACAGGAATGCTGGGCCTCAGAAGTTGTTTAACATAAAACCCAATTCCAGGAGGAAGAGCCGGAACCTTTCATGAAGGAGAAAGGACAGGTGAGCAGGTGCTTCCCGTGGGTCCACACGCCCTCAGGGATGCCTTGGGGCAGGACCCTGGGCGCCTGCTGTTTGGCAGGAAGGGACAGAGGGCGGCAAGGGCAAGCTTTTTATAATCCCTCCACTTACTTCTGAAAGGGTCGGCACTCTTAAAGCAATGATTGTCTCTTCCGCCCCCTTCCTCTGCCTGCTTCTTCTTGCCGGGCGGGTGCTGGAGGGCCTTCCTCAGCACCGGCCTCCCGCTGTCCTCCTCCGCGTCCACCTCGCAGGTAGGCTCCAGCTGCGGCATCGGCCTCTCCTCGTCCGAGTTGTCAAAGGGCTCATTCAGCACTTCCGTCGTCTCGGAAATGGTCTCAGTTGTTACACTGCTGTTGATCCTCCTGCGTTTACGACCCCTTTTCTTCTTCAGCACAAAAGGCCTCTGAAATGAATTCCAAACAGAATACACAGAGCTCATGAGAAATTAAACGGTGGAGTCGATAGGCAGCAAACACGCGAGTCTGAGACGCGCACACATAAAGGCTTCTGTGCTGCCTTTGTAGTTAACCTTCCAGTTGATGTTTAACATCCCTCTCGGGCTCTCGACTACACAGGCAAGTGTTTTCCAAATAAAACAGTTGTTTACTCAAGCAGATGCTTTGAGGAGAGAACATCCTAGAAGCTTAACTATAGATTTTAAAAGCTCAAGTTTGCTTTTCTAGCGTATATCTTCCAACGGTGCCTGCTGGCTGCACCATCCTGTACATCACAGCTCTGAAGGTGTCACAGACACCGATTTTCTATAAACGTCGCAATAATGAACTAGTCACGGGGTCACTCAGTGAATACTTGACAACTGCTCAGGGACCACCTACTATGCTCGAAGCACCCTAGGAAATACGATGGCTCACAGACTAGCCTTTGTCCCCATTTCGTAACTTCAGGAACAACAAAAAGGGTGCTTAAAGAGAGGACTATACTGGTGATAGAGTCATTTATCGGTGGCTGCAGGGATGTCAGCGACTGATAACTTTATAAAATATTTTAGTACAGAAAAATCTAAAAAAAGACATGAGAACTGCCTTATTTATGTAAGACACAAACTTTTTTTTTCTAACTGCACTACAGATCAGCACAGATGACTCCCTGTAACTGCAATCATGAAACATATTTTCTCAAGTAAAAAGAATTTAATGATACAAAACTTCAAACGAGGAATAACAAAAAAATTGGCTGCTAAAATGTAAATCTGTCAATAATGGGTCCAAAAAAATTACTGAAAGTAGATTGCATGGTTCAATATGCATGGTTAGAATTCAAACTCTAGGTAACCAGTACCCAAGAATGATTGCGTCTTACATTTTTAACTCTTTGAAAGTTCACCAAAGTGCACATATAAGCCTGATAATCAAATCCTGTAACTTAACATTTATGGTTATTCATTTCCCAAGTGACCAGCCCTCCCTAATCCACTAGAATGTTCCATCATGAGGAGAACCAGTAGAAAGAGCTGGCTTTCTCTGTTTGAGTCATCTTATATAATGGCAGTCCATATTGTGCCCTGGATGATTCCGGATTTTGCCGTTTTTGAAAAACAATTCTCTTTGTTTATATACATAACACATGAGGAAATTTTCATTGTAAGAAACCGAAACACTGTGTAAGTCTGAAGTCCACTTTAAGGGATGCTCTCTCCACCACCTCCCCACGCTGCCCTTCCATGGGACGATGGCCGGTTTTGAGCTGGGAGTTAGAAACAGCGGGTTCTCTGACAAACGCCACACAGGTTGGCCTTGGGGTGGTGTCTTAACTTGTACTGTGTTATCTCTATTGGTCTTGGCCACACTAACATTACCTGGCCCCCCTCTATGTCACAGATGGAGATCGAAGACAAAGATATCAGATCCGGGTTGAGTCTAAGGACAAAATCAGTTTTTGACCTTCTGCCCAGGTGCACGTAGAGAAAAACCACCAGGCCACTGAGGTATGAGAAGTCTCAGTAATGTGTACTTGGCCATGAATGCAAAATACCAGCGTCCAAATGAACGGCCTAAAGCAGCTTCTAAAAAGTCTGTGCCAAGAACTAGAACAGGAAGTGGCGCCGGGAGCGCTGGGCTGGAGTCGGGCACTCACCTGGTCTTGGCTCCATCTCTGATGAACTGTGTGACCGTGGACACGTCTCCTGGCCTCCCCAAGCCTTGGCATTTTTACCAACATTTGCCGAAGGTCCTTTTCTGTTCCCTCAGCCTCACTCACTCTAGCCCCACACACCAGCAGGTGGCAGTCACCACCAGACTAGGAAGCTAACAAACCAGCACTAACAAACCCCAAAAAGTAAACACAATCATGACCGTAAGGTGATACATGATCAGTGGGGCTGGATACAAACACACTACATCTGAAGAATGGAGAATGAAACAAATGCTAATAGAATGTTTGCAATGCCCGATTTGACTGACGCTGACTCACAGACTGAAAATCTAAACAGACACATACCTTTCTCTTTATGGCAACTGACTGTGGCTTAGTTAATCTTGGAGGAGAGCTTTGAATATTTTCTTCTTCCTCTTCTTCTTCTTCCTCGTCCTCCTCCTCCTCCTCTTCCTCCTCTTCCTCCTCCTCTTCCTCTTCCTCCTCTTCTTCACTGCTCTCTCTGGACAGCTCCATCAGCTGCCCTCGGTCCCCTGCCACCGGCCGGCTCTCCGGGGAATGCAAATATTTATTTTTCGATTGTACTTTTGCAGGTGATTGCCTACTGTTAGTTCTAGACGACAGGATCTCTTGCTCCTCCTTTTCCCAGCAGGTAGCTTGTTCCATTAGCCGCTCAGCCTGAGGGGGGAGGGGGGAAGTGGCAGGCCGGTGAGAGGGCAGTTAGGCAGGCAGAGCCTCTAAGGATCAAAGGCGAAGGAAGCTAAGTCATTTCTGCTCAGGACAGTCAGCCAGCCAAGCAGCATTCCAGCTGCATCATCTCAGGACTCTGACATCCGTTAGGATAACAAATCAAAGGAGATTGGGTTTCATGGGATATTTAGCAGTATTAATGATGCAGCGAATTGATTTGAGTCCTTTATCAGTACATTACATGCTCACTGGCACGGAGCACTTTAAGCAAGTTCATAAACACAAAGAATCGATTGACACTGCAGCCTTGGAGCTCAGCACCAAATTTGATCTGATTACATGCTGTCAGTAGTGAAAAATGCTGCCTTGTGATCAATGATAAATGTTTCATTTTTCATACTCAATTCAATAAAATTATCATGTCTTACCATGCAACCTCCGTTAGATAAATTAGTGCCATATCATTTCACAAGCTCTCTCTACATAACCAAGCTTTTGACAATGATGTTAATGACTTTCTTAGTTTAAGAATGCTCCAAGATTGAAATTGCACAACTTAGGTTGAGGAAGCCGATCATTACCTCTTTCTCAGCTTCTCGCTCTTCTTCAGAAACCGCGGCGTTAGAGGTTGAAATTGGGGTCCACCTCAGGCTCTCTGGATCAAGCTCATGGGACCGGGAACAGCTTTTCAGCTTTTCCATGTGGCCCAGTATCAACTTCTCTCTTCTAATGATAACAAATCTGTAATGTGATGAGGCAGAACAAAGTGCAATCAAAAGCTGAAGTTTCATTTCAGCTTCGTGTAATGACATATGCTAGCACTACTATTACTGGGCTGAGGAAAAAATCAGAAAGCACATCAAGGCAAAGGTACGCTAGATTGAAAGTGGACCAGCCAAAAAAGTATCATTTCCGGTTTTCTTTGTAAAAGAAAGGTTTTAATAATACTGTTGGGGAGCCAAAACCGGTTTGGCTCAGTGGATAAAGCGTCGGCCTGCGGACGGAAAGGTCCCGGGTTCGATTCCGGTCAAGGGCATGTACCTTGGTTGCGGACGCATCCCCGGTAGGAGGTGTGCAAGAGGCAGCTGATTGATGATTCTCTCTCATCGATGTTTTTAACTCGCTATCCCTCTCTCTTCCTCTCTGTGAAAAATCAATAAAAAATGTATATATATAAAGAAAAAGGTTAAAAAATAATAATACTTTTGGGGAACCTTTAACAGGAATGAACCTGCCTGATTCCGGGGGTCCCTCCCGGTGTAAGATGCTTGAGGGGCCGCTGGGGTCCGCCCAAGGCGCCAGGACTCACCTGCCATCCCTCTTGTCGATCATGCGGAGGTGCTGCAGAGTGGTGGCAATGTCGTGAGGGCACATGCCCGTGGCTCTGCTGATCGCCTTGATGCTGATGTGCCTCTCGTGGTGGTGGAAGAGATACTCTAAGATGACGCTCTTCCAGTAGGCCAGGTAGGAGAGCCGGCCCAGGTCAGAGAGCGGCTTCTCCGGAGACCCTGCTTGGCCTTCTCTTCTAGAAAGCAAATAGCCTGGGGCAGAAAAGGCAAAGTCAACCTCACGGTGGTGTTTTCAGACACTGAAACAGGGGCCACTGGAAATAACATAATTAACAATAAGGTACAAACATGAGAAGTGCGCGAATACACATAGTCTCTTTCCAGTGTCAGTCTTTGGTCTCCATGAAGTTACGCTTCTGGATCTTTCATACTGACACTGTACGTCAACGCCTCCAGCAAGCGGGAGCATTCCACACGCACACATTTAACAACACCGAGGCTGAAGTCATTGCTCCTGCGAAGTCTCAGCAGTCCACTCTCACACCAGCTTTAGAGTCTTTCGGAAAGTAAATGTCAGGCACTTACTCAGAAATCCCATTGAGGGACGGCCCCAAACATTAAGGGGAAGTTGTTTTCCGCAGGAAGGACCTAATGACCCTTTGACAGCTGCGTCTTAATAAAAGAGCAGGGCCTCCGTGGACCCGGGTTCTATATTGCTTGTTATGTTTAACTAGCCGGCTGATCTGAGGCTTTGTTTTAAGACTAATGAAAGAATGTCTTTTAAGTCAACTGCTACAACTCGCATGAGCCTCGCTAGCTCCGATTTCACCTCTTTCATGCAAATTAATTTATAATCCAAATCCAGAACGTTATTCCTTTGAATTAAAACAAAACAACTCTCTTAAAGCAGACCGCTTCGTGTACACTCAGAAAATCCCCGAGCGGGGTGAGCTTTTGAGTGTGCATTTCACAGCATTACTGCGAAGGTTCAGTGGCAAAGGAACTTACAAATGAGAAAAACTTTAAATCCACTTGAAGGTAATGAATGAAAGCTGGCGGCTGTCTCGGTAATTAAGAGCCACTTATGGAGGAGAGAGAAAATGCTAAAACCTAACGGTGTCTACCTTGCTCTAATTATCTGTTTCAACAGCCTCACCTTCATGAACTCGCTCCATTTAAACAAACATCAACCACATACAGTAGGTGGCAGCAATTACAAAATCATGCCTGTCTGTAAGCCACCCAAAATCTTCAGCATTTCTCTTCTTTATCTACATTTCCAAAATGGCTGCGTTCTCAAGAATTTTCTCGATTTGGGATTTTTTTGTTTTTTGTTTTTTTTTGTTACAATGAGATCAGCTTCTGGTGCATTTCTTCCTGACTCTGAAAAAGCACGGTAAGTAATGCCGAAATTACAGAACAAGAAATCCAATCTGAGCCTGGAGGGGTGTAACAGACATATAGCATTTTGCATTTTGATGGTTTTCGTCTGAATGCCGTTATAAAGAACAGGCATATATTTAACTTTAGGGTTGGCTCCAGTATTTTGACTTATTTGTCTCTTTAACACATGTTTAAGTGCAAAGAATTTGATTGAATGCAAACAAGCGCCGCACAATTTCACAGTCAGACCACCGATCACACACCCTGCGGCTGCACACGGGCTCTGGAGCGGCGGCGGCGGGGATGCTAACAGAGCGGCCACTGTGCGGGGCTGGCCCGCCCCCGTCGTCCGTGCCCTGTCAATATGGAGAAAAGCTCTCTGCTGCCGGAGTACAAAGGGTGCCCAAATCACAGCACACACATAATTGGCACATCCGTCACCTGCCTCCTAAGTGCTCGGAACATGCTGGGAAATTTACTCAGTCAGCTGGAGGCACTCGGTACCCCTGGAGGGAGAGAGCCACAGAGCCATGGCTGTGGAACTGTCCCCCCTTTGTCCATGAGATCCCACAATTAAAAGTCCCCTGCAGTGACTGCCAAATTCCCTAGCCCCTCACTGATTCTTAGCTGAACCCCGGAGTCGAGGAGAGAAAGCACCACGCCTCCCCGGCCCTGCTCCCCCACCCCGAAGAAGCCAGCAGAAAGATTTCTGTATAACGAAAATGTGGTCACAAGGTGGTATATTCCACACAAGGAGCAACAGTACCCCGGAAGTACATGTGTTTCTTTGTTCTGTCTTCTCTTCCCACAATCTATACTCTGGGACAAGAGGAAGCAGCCAGAACCCCCCCGAAATAGATTTCACTCAGCTGCTCATGCTTCTACACCCTGAGCAGTGCAGTGCACAGTGCCGGCCGGGCCGGGGCTGACATTGGCCTGTGGAGAGCCTTCAGGCATACACCTGCCAGCACGTGCTGCTCCCACCGTGTCGAGCGGCTGTCTTGGGGACACTCCCTTGGACACAGTCTGCAGGGTCCTGGCCCTTGGGGGCCGAGGAGGCAGCAGCCCACCAAGCGCATGGGACTCCGAGCGAACACCTCCATCCACTCCGGCAAGGGCACCGGCAGGCTTTCAGGGTGATAGGCACCAACATGAGACCACCCTGTCCGGCCTCACCACGTCGCTGATCGTTACACAGCCTTTCCTTCTCCTCTCTGACCTCGTGGGACTCTCCAGGGGCAGTGACAGCGACAGAAACCTATCCTAAGAGCCATTTGTGAGTCCACAAAGTCTCCTCCGGAAGGAGAGACTCTGGGTTTAAATGGAATAGAGCCCCACAACCAGAAAGACCGAGGATACATTTCTGACGAGGTGTGTGAAACCGCTTGTAATTCACGGAGCTGTACAGCTGGGAAGAAAAAGTTGTGTCATGTCTACTCCATCTGTGCACTCGCTGATGTAATAGGTAATTTAAATTTTACCCACGACAGGCACGTCTCCTCAAAAAAGCTGTAGCTGGCGGTGGCATGCCACTGCTTTGACCTTCACGGAATGTTTTAAAGAATTCCTTGCCATCTTTTGTTTCCTTCTACTTTTCTTGGCTTCTCAAATCATAATTACTACATAGCTAGCGCAGGGACAGAATGATTTTTGGTAAGCATGTTTATTTATTAAGGAATTACAGACATGCGGTGGTTTGTTACAGCTCTTACATTTAACTTACCAAAAATATTCCAAAAGATTGATCTAAGAGGCAGGGGTATAAAAAGCACTTCTCTTGGAAGCGGGTATGTTATCCTGAAGCATCTGAAACCAGTACGATCCACCCTGGTGATTGGATTCCCATGGTGCTCTCACGCTTCTCCTTCACTCAGGGTAGTTCAACCCGAAAACCTGGGCTCTCCCTGAGGGAGCCTGGCTGTTTAGACTGAAAGCAAAGTGACGTCTGAAGGATAAACCCTGGTGGCTGTAGGATAATTAATCGCTGGCGAAATTATTCCCTTTAAATTGTCTGTGAGCCAGAGGTGCCGGTGAGCAGCACTTACTCTGCAACCGGGAGACCTCTCATTGAAAGCCGACTGGCCTGCCTGGAAACGCCTCGCCCCCAGCAGCTCTCTGGATACCAGTGAAAGCTGGCCTCCCCTTTTGTTCCGGGGGAAGGGGAGGTCAGTCTCTGTGCATGGACCACACGCTGAATTCAAAAGGTGATCAAGGTGTTTGCACATAAAGGACAGGTAAGAACAATGGGGTGTCTGCAAAAGGCAAGCATTTCTCAGCTTTACCACAGGGGACCCAAACTCACCTCGCCTCTGTGAAGGCTGACACACTTGGAGTAAGAATCAATTATCATGTAACTAGTTCTGACTCCTTGTGTTTGAAATGGTTAACTGAGAGAGAGAGAAAGAGAGAGAGAGAGAGAGAGAGAGAGAGAGAGAGAGAGAGAGAGAGAGAGAAACAGTAGTAGAGTGTTGCCTTCCCATAGACAGATCCATTAAGATAAGGAGAAACTATCCAGACAAGGTCAAGATTAGTTTTTTGCAGACTTAAATTCCCAAATTAATTGAACTCCCAACATATTAACTGCAAGGTTAACCCTCCTAAAATATGAAACATTCCTTCGTTTTAAACTAGTCATATTTCAAGAATGTGGACTGGAATAATGTGGACTAGTGAAATAATGTTCGCAGGCAAGGTGCGGACGAGGATAAGGATTTACCCCCACAAAGGCAGCCACCCCCGCAGCCTCGGGCACCTTCATCTCCTACCATCTGGAGCAGACCAGATGAACCTCCTCAAATACAAAAGTGTAAACTTTGGCAAGCGACTCCCAACTCCCATCTGTCTGAATTGTGTGTTTGGGCTAACTAACTGTTTTTAGGAGGAAGATAATCTTCAAGGATTACACACCTTTCATCAGACACCTGTTTAGCTCAGCAAACGCCGCTGAAAGGTTCGTATCAGTAGACAGCACTGGATTTGCAAGCCTGGGAACTGACACCAAGCCAGGGATTTATGGCAGCTCTTGACCAGAGGAAATCCAATAGCTCTAACCATGTATCTCGTGATTGGGGATGGAAATTCACTGGTCTGCACTCATCTGTTACTAGTATCTGGCTCTGTGACCAAGTGGATAAATGGCATGTCATCAGTGTAAACAGTGATAAATTAACTCCATGGGCAATTTACGTCTCCTTGCTGAAGTTTTGTGGTGGTTTTGCAATTGGTTTAAAAAGGAAGCCGAACCTTAGCTTTTCCATTGTTTTTCTTCTTTAAAAAAAAAAGTTTTACTGATTTTAGAGGGGGAGGATGAGGGAGAGAGAGAAACATCAATGGGCTGCCTTCTGCACACCCCCTACCAGGCATCGGGCCTGACCAGGAATTTCTTTAATATCTGGCTTAACAGGAAACATTCTCACATCTGCTTTGGTACTCAGTCTGTTGTGATATCACAGGTCATGAAATTTCCTGAAAACTCCACTGCACACTCATGAGAGGATGAGAATGGAAAGGACAGAGTAAGTGTCCCAGTATTACTTTGAAAATAGTTGTGACTTTGCAGACTCCCTGAAAGGGCTCTGGGGATCCCCACGGGCCCCTGGACCATACTTTGATATTATCTGCATTAAATAAAACATGAGGATAATTTTTAAAAGTTGGATAACAAGGCCAAGGGTATTAAAAATAATATGGCATTTACTGAATCGAGTATGGCAGATCAGAGGTGCTATATAAGTTGACTAAGAGCAGGGTTCCAGAGCTGGACTGCTTGGAATGGAATCCAGGGTCCACCATGGACCATATGTATGACCTTGGGCAAGTTCTTCAATCTCTCTGGGCTTTAGATCCTTCATCCATAACATATGGAGAAT